ATGTACCAAATATCTATGTTTTGATATTGCATCTAATCACTGTGCTGAAATTACATTGCCAATTCAGTTTTTAGGAGCAGTGTCAGCTGCTCCTTCAGACTTCATGGCTTGAAGTACTTAGCTTTGGCTGCTAACCTGAAAAGGCCACACAACCTGGTATGTGTCATCCTAGTGCAGAAAACCCCCTGCCATATCAAACTGTTGTTTTGTATGAGGATTCTCTGTTTGCTCCACCCCTCTCCATCACTGCTCTCCATGCAGGCTTGAGGAAGCTTGATAATGCTGTTCTTACACTGTGCAAATGTTCCTACAGGTGATCAACCTGTGCAGTGATTGCCCATGAATCCATTTTTGCAAGAGGCTGGTGAACTGTTAAGGATACTCTAAACAGCAGTGTAGTATTTGGGACATACTAAATAAAGAGTGAAGTCTTCTTTGATACTTACTGATGTTCACATACCATGTAATTATTATTATCATCGAAAATCCCAACTTCCTTTCTTTGGACATAGTGTCTAAACAGGAAGAAGCCTCACCTTCCTGTTTGGAGAATTGCTAGTTTCAGAAGAAATAGATTTTTCTCTCTTACTTGCAAAGATTTTATTTTTAATGCAAATTGAAAAGGCGAACAATAGGCTATCTAAAAGGAAGGAAAACCACGTCTGAAACAGAGTCTGCTATGAATAGATAGTCTTTGCACTATGAAATAACTCATGTCATACCTATATACTGACTTCTGCATATTGGGAAAGGAAATGTAGACCTATTTTTGGCACACACTACAGTGTATATACACAATGTAGAGAGCAAAGTTAAGGTTAGAAAGGGAAGAGAAGCCTCCTGTCAATCTGCACAGACAGCAGGAAGGAATCATGCAGGAGTTGGATTGGCCCTCCAATAAGTGCACAAAAGTTTCTGGTACCTGCTCAGCATCCTGTATTCCCTGTGGTTCAGGTCAGTGCTCACAGTGGCCTTCTGGGTAAATCTCAGCTTCTAAACTTTGCTTTCGCAGCTTTAGTTGAAGGAAACACTGGTGGAGCAGCACCTGCGGTTCTGTTCCAGGTATGTGGAATCTTTGATGCCTGCAAGGGGAAACACAGTGGGACTGAGACCAGGATGCTCAGCTCATCTTTGTAAGAAAACAAACAGAAAACTGGTAACTGAAAGCTGTGTGTGAAAAGGTGTTTGTACCGGAAAGCAGAATGAGCTGTTTGGCATCCCAAAGGTGTTTGATACCTTCTGGGAGACTGACAAGCAGCCTAATAGAACAACTACCAGCAGAGGCCTTGTAAGAGCTGCTGATAGAAATAAATCTTTCTGGGAAGCGCTCCTATTGTCGCTTCTCCTTCAGCTTCTCTCATCACAGCTTACCTGGCAACCTGTGCCAAGTGTCTCACCATCCTCATAGTGAAGAACCTCTTCCTAATATCTAATCTAAGTCTCCCCTCTTTGAGCTTAAAGCCATTCCCCCTTGTCCTATCCCTATAAGCCCTTATTAAAGCCCCTCTCAGATTTCTTGTAGGTCCCTTTATGTATAGGAAGACTGCAAGTCTCCCCTGAGACTTGGTTTATTTCTGAAGGCCTTGGCTCTTGTATTCATGGACTGCACGAATATCCACCTTCTTATGAGCATGGAGAAAGTGTAAAAATGTGGTCTTACAGGGTCAAATACCAGATATTTATAATTCTTTTTTTTTCTAATCTTCTGGATTTTTAACATCACTATTCTGATTTTGGAAGCCTTATTTTACAGCACTGCATGCTTGCTGTTGGCAGCACTGCACAGTGCAAAGAAACTTTGCAAGTATTTGCTACTCCTACTCCTATTTTAAGTTAACTCTGCTTACTGTACTAGGGCATTATATTTGGTTATGTTTGTAGTCACACCCTAAAGGTGTATCTTGTTCTTTGTCTTTGCTTGCTCCAGGTTTCCACTTCTCATGGAGCCCAAGTTCCCTTTGGATGCCAAGATGCTCAGACCACCATGTGTACCCTTCCTAACTTTGCTGCTTTCCCAGAGATGGGCATGTGCTGTTTCTGCTCCCTTTGCAGTGTCTTCACCACTCACTCCTGCCACTCAGCTGCGTACAGCTCGTCATCTGTAAGTATTTTGCCAGATATGAGCCTTGCTTTGTGATTTAACTGGACTGCTGCTATTCACAGTTCCAGTAAGAAGAGAACACATTAAAGCCATTGTAAAATAATCAGCACCACATGAAATTGAGAAGGTGGGATCCAATAATCTGAAACCCAGATGGTCTCTGGCAGTGAGAAGTAGGAGAGCTGTCATGCTGAAAAAGACCCAGAAGTCAGTAAATGAGCTGAGTTAATGATGTGACACAAAAAAGGCAAAGGCAGAGTGATTCTAAGCAACATATGTAGGAGTGTCTCCCCTGAGAGACCGAACATTCTGTAGTCTTATCTGTGCTAGTGTTCTCCATGCAGGTAGTACAGCTATTGTACTATGGAAGCAATGATGGATACTAACTGTAAATGAATAAGGTGATATATTTACCAGCATGTAGAACAGTCTCTCTGAGGAGGGATTAGCAATTGGGATTAGCAAATATAATTGGACAACACTTTCTGGGACTAATATGCATGTCAGATGGGAGGAGAGAGGAGAAGCCTGATTTCACTGTACATGAAATAATAATCATGTAACATGTGAAATAATATTTGGGCCTATTGTTGTTGGCCTCCATAGGAATATGTTTGTAGAATCTGTTCTGGTCCTGAGTGTTTTGAGTAGGAGCCCATGCAAACTTTGGACTCTTTGGACTGGCTAGGTGATGCTGTTGAACAACACTGCCTGCTTGACCAGCTAGTGTTTACAATACATGTTGCAATGGTGAGGGTAGTCTTTTACAGTTAAATATCTGAGCTGATACCATGGGGCACTGAGTCACTGTCCTCTGAATATTCCCTGTGCTGCTGCTGCAAATAAATTCACCTGCTTCCGTCTTAATAGCTCGCTTTAGATCCAGTGCCACACTTCACACCCTATTCTGGACACTCTCCAACAAGTTAATGTCTTTCACTGAGGAAGGTGAGTAAAACTGATGAGAGTATCCTTAACTAAGGAGCCATAAAATTCTAATAGAGCAGTAATGTTCCCAGTGAGCCTGAAGGGAATCTGATCAATAGTTATGAGGTTGAGGCTCAATTTATGGCCTTAATTCATCAAGCATAGTCATGCTCCATTTCTGTACAGGATGCTTTTGTGGTTCCTGCTGAGCAGAGGAGTATAAAGTCTGCGTAAGCTCTTTCTTGACAATTCCCCAGGCTCTATCATTTAAGAACAGGTGACTCTACAGAGGTGGTGATCAAGGTCCTGTGATCTATTTGAAGTCAATTTTTCATTGTATAGGACAGACTGTACCAACTGCATTTGTTCTGAGAGGCTTGGAGTGCCTTCACAGTGAGTAAAAAAGAAAGTTATTTTGGATCTTTTAGAAATTTGGCACTGCAGTTATTCATATGCTCTCCAAAAATCCTTTTATTGCCTTTTGTAGACCCCGTCAATACAATTTGCAAGATGGGGGCTAGGCTACCTCTGTGTTTCTAAGCTGCCTCTGTGGTAGAAAGAAGTTTTCCCAGCTGCTCCTGACACAGGTTTGATCTATTTAAGTTTCCAAAATGGAAAGGGAACAGGCAGAGAATGAAATTTCATCCAAAGGTTTTATTACAACCTCCATGTAAAAAGCCAGACCTTTCCAAAGACAGAAGTTAAATGCAAGGTTTATGTAGCCACCTCCCACCAGTGGTATAAGCATGTAAGCAGACAGAAGCATGTCAAACAAAATGGAAAAGCCTTGATTAAAGCCACCTCATTAATTTATGCATCTGCTTGTCATTCCTGCATGCATAGGCTAGCAGAAGTATCTGAAGTGATATAGGAATGTATAATACTGTATACAGTAAGGTCCTAGCTGGAGAGGGCTCTCAGTCAACACTTGACCAAGAATGTTTTGTGACATTCATTCAAATACCATTTCCCAAGCATGCTTTTAAAATTCCCATCTCCTACACCATATACAGATCCATATTCTAACAGCCTAGTCTTGCACATAGACTTTGTTGTACAGATCCATTCTGCTTTGCCTATCTCTCCGTGGTTTTGATTGGGAATACTCCCAGTCTAACCTCTGGTGTTAAAGGATGCCTATAGATATTTGCACTGGTTGAGGGAAAAAAGGAAAAAGATTGGACATTTTCATGGTCCTGAAATGCAGGTTCTGACTTTTCTGACAGCCCATGGGGGCTATGGGAGGCCGGGGCTGATGGTTCTTCTTTGGATCCCCCTCTGCAGCAGTATTTTGTACCTAATGCCAGCAGCTGCAGTGGAGGGGAGGCAGGAGGATTTTAGGGAGCCCTAGCTGTTACCTGAGCCAACAGCGACACCCAGGGCCTCACCAGCACAGTCAATCCCATTTGAATCTGCTTCCCCACACCCCATGCTGCCTGGAAAACTTTCCAAGGTTTAGCTCTTTTCTGTTCCTGAATGACTACCCTAATTGAGAAGGAAGCAATATTTTACTGTAGTAATTTTATCTATAGAAATCCTGTCTACTGGGGCACTGAGAGAAAATTAGATCTGCCAGAGGCACATCTATATTCAAACACGCTAAGTGGATGTGATATTTTCATCTCCATCAAAATAGTTAAGACAGATAGTATTATTGGTTTGCAGCTAAGGTCAGCTTATAAAACCTCACATTCCTGCTTCCTCACTAGAGTGAAAAACTCGCTGAGGCCATACTGGCATTATTTTGGTAAACTTTTGTTAAATAAGGGTATAATCCGAGCTGAGCAGCACACTCAAGGAGTATATGACTGTTGAAATGAGAGGTGAAGGTTCTGTAACAGTGAATTCAAAGTCAGCCTTTTATTAAAATGACCCTGAACAACCTCCTGGAGACAGATACCTGAACAAACAGTGCTAAAATGATTAGACAGGTACCAGGAAATAACAAAAAATTCAACAGAAGCAAAAAACCCCCCACCTTATAGAATTGATCAGGACACGGGATGAACAACCCAAATTACGCACCACTTTGTACTTTCCACTCCCAGGGTGTGTGAAAGGTGTCAGGCAGTCACTGCGCTATCAGCTGTGTCACTGGTGTATAGCCTGCACGGCTGTTGAGGTAGTTTCTTGTTTGCTTTTCAAGCTCAGCCTTGCTTCAGCTCTTTGGGGATACCTGTTCCTCTCTGCAGGGCAGGAGGCAGCACAACTGAAAAAGCACTCGGCTGGAACAGCAGTAAATGAAGTAGACCAATGACCCTCGTTTTACCACCAAGCAGAGAAGTTGTGGAGGGGAAGGGGATGGATGAAGTTCAAAGTTTGTACATTCCAGTTGGGAAGCTGAGGCTAATTGAGTAGATAAATAAATGAAATGTGTTACACCCATTTAAAGTATAAAGGTGCAAAGCACTGGTTCTACTTTGAAACAGAGCATGAAAAGTTACTGAGTTCAGAAAGGAGTAAGCCCATGGTCAGGCTAGGCCATACATGAAAGCATACTTGGTCACTCCTGTACAGTACCATGGACTCTGATTAAAACAACCACCTTCTCTAACTGAAATAGACCTGTCAGTAAGTAGTATTCCAAAAATCTGAATTCTTTAGTGTCTGAAGCTGAGCATCCAAAATGTGAAGCATCTGTGATTCATTTCATTCTTCTGAAAATGATGGTCATAGCCCATAAAAAAATTGCACCTCGACATATTTGCCGACTGCTTTCAAGCAGTCTCCTTGTTTAGTAGGATTTATACTGAAACAGTTATCTTTCTGCCTGCTTTTCCAAGGAAAGATGAAGCCAACTTCTGTTTATTCCTGCCATGGCACAGCTTGAAATGGGCTATTTAATAAGCCAGTGACCCACACACTATCAATGTGAGAGTGTTGCTACAGTCTGCAGCTCTACACCATTACCTTTCTTTTGCACTTTCTTTTCCTTCAGAATTTGGCAAGAAAGGTTATTTAAAAACCAGTCCACATCTTGATAATCTTCAGGCCACCGCAGATACTGACTCCTTTGTAAGAAGTTTCGAATTGGTTTGTGTTTCATCAGCTGATATTGAGAAAGGGACCCAACCACTACCATAATGAGGACATCCTTCAGATCAGAAAAGTACCTGCTCTGGGCAAAATTAAAGGCTTCCACACACCACCCATCTTTGAGAAACTGCCTGGTCACAATGCAAATTGTTTTCCTGCTGTTCCAAATGGCATCCCTAATATTGTTGATATGTTCTTCCCCAGGCAAGAAATCTCTTTCCTCAAAGCACAAGGTAAATCTGTTTTTATCAAAATACTGTGAATCCAAGTGCTTCAGCAAAGAATTCTGGACCCATTCAAAGTCATTTTTGCTGTAGCACAAATACGCATCATATTTGTATTCGCTTTTGTCTGCTACTTTTGGACGCCTATCATCTATCACTTTTTTGGTTATAGTTTTATACCAGACAAAACAAATACCCCGACAGCGAGTAAAAATGATGACTGCCATCAGAAACATTAGAAGAGTGACAGAGGTGAAGACAAATAATGAGAACCTGAGTGTCTGCTGGAGTTCATCTTCACTGCAACCATCATATGTCAGAGATGACAGTGGTACCCCTGCAAATGCAGGTGGGTATACACAGTACATGTCAGACTCTGAGCCAGCTAGGGTTACGTTGGTTTCATTTAGCCACACTAGTAGGCTCTTTAAAGTACAGTCACAAACATAGTTATTATGTGTTATATCCAAAATACTCAAAGTCATAAAGATTTCAGGATCGGGGGAAAAAAGCTGGTTTCCAGATAAGTTCAGGTTTGTCAGGGTTTCTGGAAAAATCCCAGGAGAAAGATGAGACAATAGGTTGGAAGCTAGATTAAGTCTTTTTAGGGATATTAAACCTCTAAAAACTTCCTGTGGAAGAGCACTAAGGTAGTTGTTATTCAGATGCAGAACCTGAAGTTTGGACAGTCCATGGAACACATCCAAACATAAATCTCTCTCCCACACAAGCTGTAACATATTTTCACCTAGATCCATATAGATTAACTGTTTGTTTTGTATGAAGTTATCATTTTTCACACAATAGGAGAAGCGATTCTGTTTTAAGAAGATATACTGTACATCTGGAACTTTGAGAAGGATGTACAGGTCACCCAGGTTTGCCAACCAATTTCTTTCTAATTCCAGGTATGTTGCTCCTAGTGTTTTGCCAGCTATGGACATTAGTTTATTGTCACCTAAAAAAGCAGAGGTCAGATGTGGAAAGGAAGGGAGCTTTTTAATGGCGTTGTCTCGAAGATCAATTGTTTTCAGACTTACTAAGTTACTGAATGATTTTTCTTGAATTATCCCAATATGATTTTGCTGTAGATCAATATACATTACACTATGTAGACCTGTAAAAGTATAATCATACAACTCGCCTAAAAGATTACTTGAGAGATTGAGAGTTTTTAGGTTTCTCAAGCCAAAAAATGCTTGCCTTTGGATTTCGTTTATCTTGTTTTTGAAAAGGTTCAGTGATTCCAGACTACCAAGGCTTTGAAAGATTAAAGATTTCAGAGAGAAAATGTAGCCATTTGAAATATCAAGCAAACGGAGATCACTTCTCGCTAGTCCTGCAAACGTATCCTGATCTGGGTTTTTTAAGTTACTAAAGCCAAATCCAGAACCCATTATATGAAAGCTAAATATTAAAGAACCTATTTGCGTCCCTTTAATGGCTGAAGAGAAAGCTTTGACTCTCTCTGTGCTCCAGCCATTGGAACCAAGGTCTAGTGTGGTAAACGTGATGTTGCTGAAAGGATTTGAGCATTTTGCCCAGGTTGTTTCATCTGTCTTGTACAAGTAATTTGAATTGAGGATAAAAAATAAGAAGTGTTTTCCTCGGAAGCTGGTCAGATTGCTCTCACACAGGTTGGATATCGGGTTGAATTTCAGGTTCAGAGTTTTCAAGGAGGTCAGATTATAAAACAAGGGATGAGGCTGAAGTTTTGTGATCTGGTTCCCTGAAAGATCCAATTCTTCTAATGAGCTCAAATCGTGAAAGTAATGTTCCTCCAGGATGGAATCTCCAAGGCTGTTCTGAAACAGACGGAGTACAGCCAGGCTTTGCAAGCCCACAAAAGCATCAATATCCAGTTGAAGAATCCTGTTGTATCCCAAGTCTAAGATACGAAGGTTTGGCAGGTTCCTGAAAGCTCCTTTTCCTATGGTAACAGGATAGACATACTGCGTTCCGATTTCCAACAGAAACAAGTGCTCCAGCAGCGGAAATGAAGTTGCAGTCACTTGTGTGATATAGTTGAAAGTTAGCAAAAGCTTGACTGTATCCTTTGGCACAGTTGGAATATCTGTGAGGTTGCAATAATAATATATGGAGACTTGGGCTTCTGAATAACAGCTTCTAAATGCATATACATCACTAGCTAGTGATATTCCAAAGACAAGCACTAGCAGTTGACATAACATCATGGACCTATGTGAAAAAAGTGAAAATAGTAAGCATTAATTCTGTAGTTGGCTATTTACCTACGCAGTAAGTTGTAGAGCATGTTTTTAACAGTTTAGGATGAAAGACTTACTAGTGATTTGGCATTTATCCTTTCTCTGAAGTCTAACGGGCATCACCTGATGGGCTGGCTGGTCAGAAGATGGGTCCCAAAGAGATACAAGCACCACCTACAACCTCAACAGTGACCCTCCTTTATGTACCTTAAGGGCAACACCAAACACCAACTAGGTAAGCGTGAAAATCTTGGCCTAGCTATTTAATTTGTGTCATGAAACTGATAATGCTGGTGTGTCAGCTTTATTCCTTAATCAGTTATCCCAACAAGTTTAACAGTTTGGATTACCAAAGTACAGTGCAGTCACCCAGTCATCTCAAAAGAGCTCTTTCCCTGAGCATTCCCTTTGTGAGGGCAGATGTGCTATTTGGAGTTCAGATTGCTGTCCTAACAGCCATGAACATTTAAAAGAGGGATTCTTGCAGAGCTCCTGGAGCCTCAGGTTAACCCTGCAATGTGGAATTGGCTTATGACAACTAGATTTCCTGAACTATAAATTATTAGGGCAAATTATTAGCCCTAAAGTAGTTGTTTGTGTACTGTAGTTAAGAAAACCCCTACTGACTAAGATTGTGACCATCTGCCTCTGCTTTTGAAAAAGCACTTACTGAAATGGAATGAAATGACAACCCAGTTGAAGAATTTTTGTGACCTCCAGCACAATCTGCTTAAAAATCCTAAGTGTAAATCCTTGTGGAACCAAACCCTCAATGGCCACCTAATGTCTGCAAAGTAAATCTGCTTCAGAGAGGAGAAAAGTTGGGCTTTGAGACAGTAGTTAAAAAGAGGTAAAGCCTGCTATTATTGTTAGTATTAGTAGTAGCAGTAGTAGTATCATTACACACTGCTTCTTTAAAGCACAAGTACCAAATTCTATGCAGAACACTGCACTTGAACTAAAATAATCTTATGCTTGTTGCCATCATACAGAGTGATTTCTGGGAAATGAAAACGTATGACAGTAGAAACCACTATGATAATTCCATTGCAAATACCAAGTGAAAGAGTTAGCCAGCTTTTTCTATCTGCTAAAGGAGAAGTACAAGGATATTATAATACCATCAGGTCTCGTAACTGACACAATCTCACTGTACCTGATATTCTTGGTGATGTTCTTAAGGTCATATGATTATACTAAAACCTTCACTTGTAACAGCTGTGACTACAAGGGTGAGTCTACAGATTTCCACCTCAGACACCAAGTGGGACACACATATACCTTGCACCCTAAATAGGAATCTTGTCATTTTTCTAGACGATTTCATGGGCTTGGGACAAGATCTGATTCTTGAAAGTAAAAGAGATTATGAATATAGGTCAGAATGCTGAATTATGAAGTCTTGGCATCTGAATTTCATTTACATTTTGCCCCACTATAAAGTATAGGATGTGCTGCAAAGAAAAGCAGATTGCAGACAGTGAGTATCAAAATTCTGTTAAGAGATTTTAACTGGATCTATGGGGAACAATTCCTAGTTCTGGAAAATAACTGTGGTTTCTACCCTCTTCTACCTAGCATGCACTGTTAAAATGGGACAGTATAAGCAGTAAATTATAGACCATTTGTCTTTCTGACTGCAGAACATTGTAGGTTATTAAAAAAGACACAACTGAACATAGAGCAGATAACTTAAGATCTTGTTTAATTTTCGCTTTTCTCCTTGCTTGAACCATGAAAACAAGACACCGGGTTTCCCGTTCATTGTTTGCTACCTATTACAAAGGTTCTTGTTGACACCATAGCACAAGATGTTTAGCACAAAGAGTTTTAAATTACATTTATCTTTCAGATGTTTACATTTCCATTCTTTGTGTTTGCCCAAATACCATGGCTGTTCTTTAAAGTATGGGCAAAATCACAGCATCACCAAAAGCAGTGACAAACAGGAAGTACTTTGGAAGTAAAAATTTAATAGACATGTGTCAACCTACCACCAGAAAAAGCTCAAAATGATTTGAGGTGGAAGAATTAGGAAACATTGGTATTAAATTTTGAAATGTAGGTTTGCTTTTAATCTTAGAAAATAAGTAAATGGTGAAATATTTCAAGCCACTTTTCCTTTACACTTATCTGCTTTTTCATATTCTTGTAAGTTAAAGAATTTTTTAACAATCTCTTAACAGCTGTTACACACCACCTCTGTTCTGGTTTGGTGACAAGGTTCATTTGTAAACTCTTTGCTCCCTCAGTTTCTTCTGCGTAAGTCACTACCTTTTGCCAGCAACTTGGCCTTCCATGAATAGAGGATGCTGGCAGCAAGTAATGCCTCTTACTGCTGCCCTGAGGACAGCAAATACTTTCAATTTAACAGAATCCGTCTACCTAGCATCTTATACAATCATCACCATTATACATTAGCACCTAAAAGCTTTTGGGAAGAATCCTCTTCCCACAGAATTACCATCACCCCATTCAGGAGTTCAGGTTAGATCTAAGGAAGAAGTCCTTTACTGTGAGGGCGGTGAAGCACTGGCACAGGCTGCCCAGAGAAATGGTGAATGCTCCATCCCTGGCAGTGTTTAAGGCCAGGTTGGACAGAGCCTTGGGAGACATGGCCTAGAGTGAGGTGTCTCTGCCCATGGCAGGGGGTTTGGAACTGGATGATATTCAGGTCCTTTCCAACCCAAACCATTCCATGATTCTGTGCCTGTGCATGGACATAGAGAAGAAAGAATGTGTAAATGCCTCATTCATTACTGAAAATTGGAGCAATGAAGTTTAGACAATCAGAGCTCCTCATGAGAGATTTTGTTTCCTTCTACTGTGTTGACGTCAGAAGGGAAAAACAGTAAAGGGAAGGGGAAAAGGAGGAAGGGGAGGAAAAATGCAGTGAATGCTTTTGGGATGGAAAGTCCTAAGCAGGGTATGTTTCTGAGCAATGGAAAGAACCTTTGCAACACAGGGTGGATATTCTATCTAGATCTAAAATCAGCAAGCAAGTGCATGCAGAATGGAAATACCCTAACTCTGGTCTCAGCCTCCTTGGGAAGTGTGGGCCTGGATCAGGGAAGGCTGATGCAGATACTGAAGAGTCATCTGGAACTGGCTCACACTGTTCTATTAACTTTTTAAACTCAGTTTTGTTAACCTGGTTTTAAATCACCTAGAAACCTCCGCTAGTGCAGCAAAAGAGTAATGGAACTGGCAGTACCTGAGAGAGGATGTTGTTGTAGTGCCTGTGTATCCCCTAGGACATCCACAGAGGCTGCCAGTAAGCAGGGCCTGAAGTAGCTGGAGAGGAGGACTAAGACTGTGTCCTTTTCAATGTACACAAGACAGGAAAGAAGTTGGAGTAACAATTCTCCCATGGAAAGTTGGAAAGCACTTGCCATTCCCCTTTCCACACCCCCAGCAAAAATGCATTGGAATCCACATAAATAAAGAGTGGGTTACATACCCTGTTTTTGTCCTTTCTGATGGCTGGGAATACTGGCTTGCTTTTAAGTGATTTGAACAGAAAATTTCATTCTCAGAAGTGGTTTTGTGCAGCATGCAGTAGCAGCATGCTTGCTCTCTTCAGCAGCTTCCTGTGCTTCCACCATATAACCCTATGAACCAGCATACACCAGTGGAAAGGAACAGTCATGTACCATATGTGTTATGAAATGAGCAGTGGGTCTGAATGGTTCTCAGCTGTCAGCCATAGGTTTTGGGGAACCAAGCAGCAGAGGCATTGGCTATCTGGGTGGACTCTAGAGAAGACCAGTCTGATGTAATCATCAATGAGCTTTAAAGAGCTTGAATACATTTTTAATAACCTATTGTAGTGACCAAGATACCCTCCTAAGCAGACTTGTGCTAGATGACAGCTCAGTCAGCCACAGGAACTGTGCAGACTGCTTGAAATAACGCCACAAAGGAAGCCCAGGAATACTGGTCATTTAGGTGTTTGGATGTGGTTGGTAGATAAAAAAGGTAAAGACAGAGGTAAAGTTCATAAATTATCCATTATCTGTACCAAAAAAAAAGGTAACTTTTTTGCTTATGTTAATTTTTACAGAAGCAAGCAGGCCATTTTCTGTAGGTCACTGAATCACAGAGAAATAGGGTGCATATATAATAGAGTAAGGTATATATATAATAAAGTAGCAGTATCTTTGGATGAGTGTATGCGAGTCTCTTTCTAATTGCCACAAGCCTGCTTTGGGATTAAGGGATAAACAAACATTAATCCTACTGCCAAGTTGGAAGGCCTTTTTTACCCTTCAGCTCCATAGCTAAGGGTCTTGCTGTTTGGACAGCAAGATGCAAGAGCTCAGTTGGAGCTTGCCTGAGTGCTGCTTAACCCTGATGTCTGTGAAACACCACTAGCTGTCACAGGTAGCACAACAGCTCCCCAGAGAAAGGGAAGAAAGAAAAATAGGATTAAACAGCTTCAGGGTGTGTTTCTTGCCAGTAAAAATCAATGCACAGAAGACAGTTCTCTTCTCTTTATATGCAACAACATTAGGCACGAAGAGACAAAGACCACCTTAGTTGTGCCTTAACGGGTTTCTTTCTATAGTGAGATGGGTTTGTGTATAAAAATCACACTGATTTAGCTTAAAATTCGATATGCACACTGCCTTTATCAGCAGTTTACAACTTTTCTGGAAAATATATTTAAGCCAAATTCTGTATGTAGACATCCAGAATCCAACTAACTGAACAGAGACTGTTTCATACTCATCTAACCTAAACTACACTGAGTTTACAGCAGTGTTTGTGAACAAGGCTCTAGACAGACTGGTGCCACACTTTTGCTTTCTGGCAAATTCTAAGATTTGAAATAATTCTCTGGTTTCAAATCTAATCAGCAACAGAAGTTTATGTATAGAAAATCATGCAATTTCAAGGGTTTTGCTTATGACTGTTAGATACTAGATAGATTATTGCCAACTTCTGTCCCCTTCTTATGTTCACCAAAGT